TTATATAGTTATCGCCACCCACTGCCGCACTAGTTGGAATCCCAGCCATCCAGAGAGCTAACCTACATGGTGCAGCAGACCTCTTCTGCCTTGCCTGCTGCTCCCCTCAGCAGTGTATTTCAGTCAATCCACCTGTTCTGCTCCCTATTCTGTCTCTGGTGAATCCTCTCACCCCCACACCCACACCTCTGGCCTACACCCCAGCTCTTGTATGCACAAATAAATAAAACTTAAAAAATTAAAAAACATATTATGTCTATATAACAATGAAATTGAATATAACAAAATGTTAGAATTGAAATATTTTTAAAAAGTGAACTCCATAAACTTAAAAATTTAGTTTCTCATATATCTTATCTACTTAATTTATGCACAAAAGTTTCTATATAACAAGAAAAATATAAGAACTACCATATATAAGTGGATTTATATATTGAATCAAAAATATCATTATAAAGCAGGGATATGTAATTTTAAGTGATTTCAGTAAAATGAACAACATTCTATTCACTAAAGCAATAGGAAAAAATGGTTAAAGAAAACACACACACACATATATGTATATTCTTAATATATCAATAGCCCTAGTAAATTAATCAGGAAAATAGCACTCTACTAACAGAAAGAGCAGACAACATACAGAGAAAATATTCACAGGAGAAAAACTAATGGCCAATTAAAGTATGAAAGACTATGTTCTACCTGTCTAGTTATTACAAAATTACTCTCATAATAGTATGTACACATTAGTGTATCTATCCATTAAGATTATTTAACAACATACTGCAATCTTTCGAAATTTATACCCTCTACCCATTAATGCTCGCTTTAAGACAATTTCCTGTGGAAATAATCCAGAAGTGACACATGCAGTTTCCAGCAACTCAGAAGGCCACAGAAGAATGAGATTAGAATATTTCTATGTTCAACTCTCTCCTCACTATAGTGCCACCAATTAGCAGATTTCATCCATTTAAGGTCACATTTTTATGGGGCTAACCTCTCTAGATTCTCGTAACAGCACTCCTTTTGCTTGCCAAATGCAGTCCCCAGGCTAATAATGGCTTCCTGCTTTGCTTTTTGATTTCCCTTAATTCTACCTCTACCTTTGTAAATATCCACTTCCTTAAGCTTTCCTTAATAACAGAACTTGAACATGCTGTCTGTTTGTTCCTGATTTCTTGCGTGGTGCATCCACAAAAAATTTCAAAAAGTCTTAATAAAATAAGATGAAATGTTAAAAAAAATTAATTTTGATTGAAGGAACATTGGTTTACATTGTGTATGACTTAGGGTTATGTGTTCGTGCTTCTTCAGATGTATTACCAAACCACACCCACCACCAAACCACCAATCATTTAATGAAACTTAAGAAAGAGCAAAAGCTGCAGAAGACATTATGAGAATTAATGTTTGAAAATCTGCAGATGAAAGCTGTAAATCTGAGAATATAGGATTCGGGCTTAGGGCACTTCCCAATCTCCAGGACAATGGCTGCAGAATATGGCAATAGGAAACTTTCACCTTAATAGTTGAAGGAAGCAGGGATAAGAGTTCAGAGCTGAAAACAACAGTCATGAATTTAAAGGGATTGCTTTGGCAGCAAGAGAACTGTAGAGCTAATGGCATCCAGAACTGGAGTATTAAGCTACCCAAAATACTAGTCAAAAACTGAAAAACTGAACTATATATTCACAGGGAATACTCCAGTGACCCTAAAGAGAAAAGACAGAACATATAACTGCATGGGACCAGATCTGTGAGTTCATGATTTTATTTTTTTTTTTTCAGCTGAGTACATTCCCAAACAGTGCACATTTAGAGAGCTGAAACATCTTAGGCTTCGACAGAGCAATGATAGATGTGGCTACATGCCAAGAGGAAGACAGTTTTTCAGTTTGAATTCAGATAAGTTAACTACTTAATAGGACATAAAATTAAAAATTATAAAAGGATGACACAGTTTAGTTTCTACAACATCTAATTTTTAACTCAACATTTCTAGGCATGCAAAAACAGGGAAGTGTAGCTCATAGCAGGATAAATGTTGTTATGAGAATCTGGTTTTTACTGGAGCTAGATATTTGATTTATAAAGATAGCAGTTAATGTAAATATTTGCCAAGAATTAAGAATATATTTTCAAAGACTAGAATGAGTCAATGAATGGACATTTCAGTAATTTGGAAGCTATAACAAAAAATGGTGATTATCCAAAAGACAAAAACAGGGCCTCCCCGGTGGCGCAGCAGGTTGAGCGCAGCTCTGTGAAGCTGTCCGCAGCCTCCACAGCGCCGGTTCGATTCCCGACCGGCCAGGGAGAATCCCACAAGGCGCAGCAGACCTCTCCTGTCTCGCCTGCTGCTCCCCTCAGCAGTGCTTTCTGTCTGTCTATCTGTTCTGCTCCCTGCTCTGTCTCGGGGGAATCCTCTCACCCTCCCGTGACTCTGGACTGTACCCCAGCTCTTATATAAGTAAAAATAAATCTTAAAAAAAAAAAACACACAAAAGACAAAAACAAGAAGTGTTACAGAGGTTGTGGAGAGAAGGGAGCCCTTTTGGTGGGAATGTAAATTGGTGCTTCCATTATGGAAAGCAGTGTGGAGGTTCCTCCAAAAATTAAAAACAGAAATTCCATAGGATCCAGGTCTTCCTTCTCTGGGTGTTTACCAGAAAAACACTAATACACTGATTCAAATAGATATATGCAGCCACATGTTTATTCCAGCACATTATAATAGCTAAGAACTAGAAACCACCTAAATGCCCATCAATTAACAAATGAATAAAGAAGATATGTTACATATACATAGTGGAATACTATTTAATTATATAAAAAAAGATGAAATCCTGCCATTTGCAACATGGATGGACCTAGAAGGAATTATCTTTAGTGAAATAAGTTGCACAGAAAAAGACAAATACCATATGGTTTTACTCATATGTGGCACATAGAGAAAGCAAACAAATAGATGAAGTAAATAAGATAAAATAAAACTTTAGACTATAAAACCAATTAGTGATTACCAGATAGAAGGAAGAAAAGAGGTAGGTAAGTCATCAAAAAGCGGACAATGCTATGGTGAAGGACTTTTGGACTATTAATGGTGAACTTAATGTAGCATATACTCATGTTGATTTTCAATGATGAACACTTGAAACATAATTTTATGTGATATTACTTCAATAAAAAATAAATAAAAATATAAAAGAACAAAGAGTGGCATAATTCAGACAAATATTAGATCAAGTAAAATCTATGTGACTTCATGGCAACAGTTGTTTTGTTTTTTTTTTCAAGATGTGTTTATGCATACAAGAACTGGGGTACAGGCCAGAGGTGTGTGGGGTGAGAGGATTCACCAGAGACAGAGTAGGAAACAGAACAGGCAGAATGACTGAAATACACTGCTGAGGGGAGCAGTGGTGAGACAGGAGAGGTTTGCTGCACCATGTGGGTCGTTCCCTGCACGGCAGGGGATGGAACTCCTGCTGCAGAGGCTGCGGATTGCTTCATAGTGCTCTGTCTAAACCCCTTGTGCCGCCAGAGAGGACCGGCAACAATTGTTTTTTAATTTACTTATGGGAAAAGCAGAAAGGTAGAAATGTATTTGGTAGGTTTTGACAGCAGGAAGTCTGGCTTGAGTCAAGGGTTTATAGCCAACAGAATACAGAGTAGGTTTATGTCTAAAAAGAGTCTTGAACGACAACCGAGATATATTTTGCTTTGTAGACACTGGGGAGACAAAGGTATTTTAATAGATCAGATATGGACCAAGTCTTGGAAATAGCAATAAAAAAAAAATCAAGATTTATTTTATCCACATGTGGATAAAGTTTCTAGATATTCTGAAATACCTATTTGAAAGAAGCTCAGGGGATAGAGAGTTAAATGAAGATAATTTTGATTTGTTGCATTTCAAGTGCTAATAGAAAACTGAAGTGAATTGCCTTAGAGAGCTGGAGACGAGGTCTGAAATTCAGAAGAAATTTGGTTGGATATGGAAATTTAGTTATTAAATACAGAGAAGTTATCACCAAGAGATTGCAGTAGCAAAGCACACTGGCCTGACCACTAAGCCCCAGGTATGCAAGAACAGAATAAGGATTAGTAAAATGGATATAAGAAATAGTCAGAGAATGTGAACACATAGACTTCAGACAGAGAGGCCTTTAAAGAAAGTCATTTAATTCATACTCATTGCTTTATGCTCTGTGCCTTCCATTTGGTAGCTACTTAGTGTTTGTTGAAAAACTCATGAAACTTCTCCATCACATAATCCTGCGTTGTAAATTATTCACGGAATGAAAATTCCACTAGCACAGCTTTAAATTTGAACTAGTGAGAATTTTTGTTACAAATAAAATAAGAACTTTTCTAAGTTATCAACAATTCTTACTTAAACTTACTGAAATTCAGCTGATAGTCATAATTTATTGCATTTACCTATTACGAACTTTCAAAGAGTCTCACTTGAAAGTATAACCTCTCAATTAGATCCTCTATAATGTAGAATTCATAAAGCACCTCTCAGAAAATCCAACACTGAAATATAAAATAGTGATAAAGTAATGATAGTGAAAAATGATGACATAAATTAATGAATATTGAGCTCATTTGATTAAGGGTTGTAGGGTAAATGGTTTTCAGGCTTTTCTGCCCTCCTACCATTAGGATTGCCCTGCCTGGTGGGACACCTGCTGTTGTTACATTGTTGTAAGTTGTGTTGTTTACTTCTGTGGCCGTGGGGCAGTATAGAGATATTGGCCAAAAGAGGCAGAGATAGGAGAAAAGCAGAAGAGGCAGCAGAGAGAGAGAGAAGGGGAGAAAGAAGCCCAGAGTGAAGACTTGCTGGGGGCATGGAGGCCTCTTGGCTTCCTGGCCCCCTGGCACTCCTGCCTGCCATGTACCTGGTTGCTGCACTACCTATAATAGCCCAATATAAGCCTGAGAAAGCCACCAAGGGCACCAGGACTCTCCTTTACCTGGTCTGCTCCAATCATAGACATCCTGCTCAGTACCCTTCATGGCACTACAGGGTAAGTTCCCAAATCTCAGGGTAATATAAAAGTTTCAAAGTTATCTTTGAAAAAATTTGGCTTTTATTTTTCTCTTTCAAAAGCATCTTTCAAAGTAAAAATCTTAAAGCTAAGTTAAGATAATGTAACCAAATAATTTCATGAAAATGAAGAAAATTTAAAAATACCAATAAAAAGTTCAAATTTAATTTTTGTATCAAATGTTATTCAGATAAGGGATTTAAAAACATTGACGGTTGATGTTTTTGTCTTTGTGATGACTTCTCTTTGGACATTAAACTCTACTTCCCATGGCTTGCTTCTTACATGAAGGGTAGACGATAACAATATTGAAATATTTAATCCCAAGAAATATCTTTCTATTTAAAAGATATTGTTCACTTGTCAACTATGTAATGCATGTCTATTAGATACATTGCACATGGTGGGCAAAATTAGGCAAATAAACTATAAGATTCCTGCATCGAACCCATCTAATTCAGTACCTACATTGGTGTAGACAACTTTTTAGGTATTTGGGGGTACAACAGCAAGCAAACAAACAGTATCCTGCCCTCGAGAATTCTAGTGCAGGCTGTATTATGATCCCTGTGAATTCAAAGTTTTCAGGAAAACTCAGAGGGAAACATATATGCAAAGATACCCCAAATAAGCAGCTTTACCCTCCCAGATGCCCCCCATGTACATTTGGGAAAAAGGCTTAATCAGTTGAAATTATCTATTTAATTTCTATTTCCCTCATTAAAATAGTAATTTTCAGACTTAAAAAGAAAAGTCCATAGAAACCTGTATATTCATGCTTGCAAGTTCTCCATATAATATAGATGATAGCAAAACTGTTTGATTGAATTGAGGAAAAAGAGCCTTATGTCACCGTCACCCGTCACCCTGGTCAACTACAAGGATCCTTAGATCCCTCATAGATCCCCTGGGGTACAGATTTAAAAATCACCACTGAAAATTCTGTAGGCACAGAATAAAGCTCACTGTAGATAGCAAAGTACCTCTGAACTCAAATTCTTGTTAAATCAATAATTGACATGAGAAAAAGAGCTTATTAAGTTTGGAAGGTATAGAAGATTTTATAAAAGATGTGAGACTCAGGCTGTGATTTAGATAAGTTGGTTTTAGTCTGATGGAAAGAAACAAAGTGAGTTTGTTTTGAAAAACAGAATGAGTTGCGAAATGGGTAGTGAAGTTCAAGTTGTATGGAGGGGGGCTAACACAGGTCACTGGGGGGAAGAGGTGAGACCACGTTGGAAAATAGTATGTATGTGCACTATATGTAATGAGCCATGAAGAACTGGTAGTAGAAAGAAGGAAATGGAATTACCCAGAGATTAAACAACTCCCCTAAGGTTGATATCCAAATCTGTGCTCTCCCATTGTGACAATTTAAATGCACTTTATAAAATGTAAAGCACTTTACTTAAGAATCTAAAGTCATTTTACAATTCTGTGCATTTTAAAATTAGACCATTTCAGTTGGGAAGCACTGAGCTATGATCAAGCTCTCTTCTACCTAAAAGATTTATGATTTTAAGCTTAGAGTCAGGCAATGATTGTACATATATTTATTCCTAGTTAAATTAAAAATGAAGGTTCATGCGATTGTTCTTTTTTGACAGGTCATATTCAAATAATCAAACTTAATTTATCCTTTAAAAATAGAATTGCATTAACAACGTTCGATAGCACTTCCATTCTATTTGTGAAGCCATAACTCATGAGGAAAATGGACTTCGAGAAGCACTTAGGAAGGAATAGTACAGCAATATAAATCGTATACATGTCCTCCTAGGAAAGCAGTTATGTTTAAATCTCTTACAAATCATGGTTTATAGTGGTTGTTTTAGAACGAGAAATGAGTATATTACTGTACATATATTTTTATGGCTTCATAAAGCTAAGCACTGCTTAAATGTATAAAGGGGTCGTTATGTCATCTAAATGACTTTCCTTCCCCTAGAGTAGGTTTTAAATATTTGAGCTCAGCAAACACTTGCTAGCTTATCTTTTTCCTGAATTTAGAGAAGTAATTCTGAGATACTGCACAGTCTTTAATCAATAATAATTAAAATAAGACATTTCTATTTACTTAGAACACCAGAAATGTGAGCTTCAGATAATTTAAAAAATGAAAACTTAATGTTTGCTAACCTGAGAAGTTTCCCAAGTAGGAGTGAGAAACTGCCCACCTATTAATGAATTCAACCAATCTGCTTTTTACCAATTCTTCTCCTCTTCAAATTTTTCTATAACCCATTTAAAAGATATAATCTACCAAGTGAGGAACTAAATGATCATAATCTAGAAAGGCTTATATTGACTCTTCTTCTAAATAATTCAATGTATTTACTCAGAATTTCTGAGTCCTAATTCATATCTAATGAACTCAACAAATATTTGTTAGATCAGCTACTACATGCTAGACATTGTTCTAGTTGTACAGATGGTAAAAATGAAATGTGTCTTAGATCATTTCAAAGAGTTTTGGTTCAAGACAGGAAACATGAAATATGTAAATAGCTAGCTAAGTCGAAGAGAGGTGTAAAGAGACTACTCCAGATAAGCCAAAAAGTAAGGCAATTAGGGAAGTATTAGTAAAGGTGACCCTGGAAGGGCACCATCATATTGGATTAGGGCCCACCCTCAAAATTTCATTTTGAACCTAATTACCTCTTTAAAGACCTTATTTTCAAATATGGCTTCCTTATGAGATATTAACATATGAATTTGAATTGGCAACACAATTCAACCCACTGCAGTTTTAAAGCTAAAAGTCTTAGCAGAACACAGAAGGACTCTTCATGATATTAAATTTAGCAATGATTTGATAGATATGATACTTAAAGCCCAGGAAAATGGAAAAATGGAAAAATTGGACTACATTAAAATTACAAATTTCAACACATCAAAGGGCAAAATTAACAGAGTGAAAATTCTACTCACAGAATAGCAGAAAAGACACAAATCTGAAAAAGGGTTAGTATACAAAATATATCAAGAACACTTATAATTCAACAACAAAACAACCTGATGGAAAAATGGGCAAAGGATTTGAATGGACATTTCTCCAAAAAAGATATATGAATGTCCAGTAAACATAGGAAAAGATGTTTAACATTAACCGTTAGGGAAATTTAAATCAAAACTCCAGTGAGCTATTGCTTTCTACCCACTAGGACCTTTATTGCGGAAAACACAGAAAGCAAAAAATTAACTCAAAATGCATTGAAGACTTCAGTGTAAGACTGGAAATTACAAAATTTCTAGAAGAAAACATAGGAAAAAACTCCTTGGTATGGATCTTGGCAACAATTTATCGAATATGATACCTAAAGCATAAGCAACAAATTAAAACTACATCAATCTGAAAATGTTCTGCACAGTGAAAAAAACAATCAGTAAAATAAAAACCAATCTATAGAATTAAAAAAAGTGGCAAATATTTGCATATATCTGATAAGGGGTTAATATGCAAAATAAATAAATGACTCATATTGCTCAATAGTGAAAACCAAATGATCTATTTAAAACATGGGCAAAAACCTTTAGTAGATGTTTTCCCCAAAGAACATAAAGTCATGGCCAACAGGATTAAGGAAAGGTGCTTAACACCAGTAAACATCAAGAAATGCAAATTGAAATCATAATGTGCTGTTTACATTTACTTAAGATGGTTATTATAAAAATATAAGGGAAAGCAAATACCAGCAAGCATGTAGAGAAAAGGGATCTCTTGTGCACTGTTATTGGCATTATATCTCTAACAGTCACTATTAGAAAACATAAGGCGTTTCTTTAAAAAATTAAAATTAGGACTATCATGTGACCCTATTCCACTTCTAGTACTTACCTGAAGGAAATTAAAACACTGTATCACAGAAATATATGCACTCCCATGTTCACTGCAACATTATTTACAATAGCCAAGAAAACACACACATAAACACACACACACACAACAGGAACAGGAACATTATTCAGTCATAAAAAAGGAGGAAATCCTGCTATTTAATAACATGGATGGCACATTAGGACAGTATATTATTATGCTAGTGAAGTGAGTCAGACAGTGGTCTCACTTATATGTGGAATCTAAAAAACTCATGGAACAGAGGTCATAATTTTGTAGTTAACAGAGGGAAGTTAATGAGAGAGGAGAAATTGGAAGGTGATCAAAACACAAACTTTCAGTTGCAAAATAAATTAGTGGTGATGTACCACTAGTGATGTAATGCGCAACATGATGATGGACACAGTGCTGCTGTATGGTATATATGAAGGGTGAAGAGAGTAGATCCTAAGATTTCTCATCACCAAAATTCTCCAATTTTTGTTCGTAAGTATGTGGAGAAATTGGAACATTTGTGAACATTGATGGTGAAGTAAATGGTGCAAACACTATAGAAATTGCTATGGTAGTTCTCTACAATATTTAACTTTGCATTATAAGATGGCTCAGCAATTCTACATTTGAGCATATATCCTACACTTAAAGGATTGAAAACAGGACTCAAACAGATATTTATATAATCTTGTCCATAGAAGCATTATGCAATAGAAAAAAATAGAAGCAACTCAAGTGTCTATCAACAGGTAAATGGATTAAAAAGTGTTATATACAAAAATATAATATTATTCAGCTTTTAAAAAGAAGGAAATTCTGACACATATTACACTACAGATGAGCTCTGAGGATCTCATGTTAAGTGAAATAAGCCAATTATAAAATTAGCCAGCTAGTTACCTTATATGAGGTACATCAACTAGTCAAATTCATAATACAGAAAATAGAGTGATGATTGCTGGGTTTGGGTGCAAGAGAAAAGTAGAATTACTGTTTAATAGGTAGAGTGCGTTAGTTTTGCAAAATGAAAAAGTTCTGTGGCTGAGTGGTGCTGATGGTAGCATGATAATGTGAATATATTTAATGTCACTAAGTCATGCAAGTAAAATGGGTAAGGTGGTAAATTTTATGTTTTGTGTATTTTCTATCATTAAAATAAATCCAAATTATGTTAAACATTTCTTAAGTCATAGAGACCTTGTCACATTAAAGTACTTGGGAAATGTTACTTACTTCTCTTGTCCTTATAAACAATAACATGGATTTTGGTTTCTTCATTGGTTTGTATTACGACCCCCAATGCTGTCTCTCTCTCTCTCCTTTCTGAGCCTTACTTTTTCAGTAAGAACCTGAACTTTTAGGAGGAAGATCATGAAGATCCGTTCAGAATATCTAGCTCCCTGTCACCTCACTTCCTTATTCTGTATAGTTCTAAACTGAATGGTTGGTTAGAGGGCATTTATATATTAGAAAGCTATTTCTTGGTATTAATATATCTCCTTTTTAAAAATATCACAGCACATTTAATAACCCAAGTATGATAAGATAATAAGTGTTCCATTCTGTTGCTTGGATACACTGGCATTAATATTCTTGAAGCAATGAAAAATTGGAAGCAAGCTATTTTCCCTCATAATAAAAATTGCATAGAATTTCACTTTCTATTGTTTTAATGTAAAATATAGTCAGCATTCTTCATGTTATATATTAGAGTTAATATGTCTTGACCACACAGAATGAAGTCCATACTTAGTAAATAGATGGACATTTTGCCCAACACAAACTTGTCCTCATTTTTTACCTTTAAATTTTTTAAAGAACATCTTGAAGAATGTTAATATACGGTTAAAACAGTCTCTTCTTGTTAATCTTTGAGACACGAGATAACCAGTGTTAAACATTTATTTATGGCTGAACTCAAGTGTCTTATGCCGTAATTTGTATGTTTTCACTCCAAGCAGAAAATGCCATCAATGGGAGTCTTCTAACTTAATCAACTAACCTGTCACTTTTTATTTCAAATTGTGTCATTTCAGGATTGTCAAAGCACCTGTTGGGACATGGCACAATTTGAGATTGGGATGCATAAGTGTGGGGCATGCATGTGAGTCAACTGGAGACATTTTTATATTGGTTTGTACCCCCAAAAGAGATGGAAAGGTAAGTGCTGACTTTTCCTTATTTGATGAAAATGTCAGTGTTCTGAAGCTGATCCTCAGAAGAAGTTGAGCAAGTTAGCCCAGTGAAATGGGGACTACCATTTAAAAAGTGTCTGCTGAGTATCGAAGACTTTGTGTTAGAGCAAATTGGTGGAAAAAGGGAATTATACAATATTGGAAAAGCTTAATTTATTCACTTGTATCCATCTGAATTAGTTCTCATTATCATAGTTCAGTATTCTGAGAATGGCTTAGTACATTAAAACAACAAAAAAAGTAAAGACGAACAGATACGGTTGAAGATATAACTTAAAGACATCATTTTCAATGGTCACAAAACTTAGGAGTAGCTAGGAATAATCAAACAAGACATATCCAATAATTATTTTCAGGAAAGTATAAAGCTTTAATGAACAACTTGAGAGAAAACATGGGAAGGGTCAAATATCCACTATTCTAAAACAGAAAAGCATTACTATAAAGATGGCAACTTTCCTAACTGACCTGAAAAGCCTATTTCCCTTTAGAAATACTTTTGAAATTGAACAATATGATAATAAAATTCACATAGAACAAAAAGGGGCCAAGAATTGCCAAGTTTCACTTGAAGAAGAAAATGAGAGGAGGGCATATTATACCAGATATAAATGTTTAAATGAAAACTATAGTAATTAATATAATGTTGATACAGCACTGGACAAATTAATCAATAGAACTTAGAAAATGATTCAAGCATAAATGGAACATTGATATATGAAAGATATATGATAAAAGATAACTGAAAAACAAGGGACTCTTAAAAAATAGAGCTGACACTTGGTTAGCCATAATGGTGGGGTGGGAGAAGGGGAGGGGGAATAGTTTTCAACTGATGGTATGCAACATGACCAAAAATCAATCCTATATATATTAAGGTCAAAAGTAAAGCTTTAGAATTTTGGAAGAAATGATAGTATAAAAGGGGCCTCCCTGGTGGCGCAGCGGTTGAGCGCTTGGTTGTGAAGCTGCCCGCAGCCTCTGCAGCACAGGTTCGATCCCCCACCACCAGCGATGGTCCCTCATGATGAGCAGACCTCTCCTGCTGCCTGCTGCTCCCCTCAGCATTGTACTTCGTAAGTCTGTCTGTTCTGCTCCCCGCTATGGCTCTGGTGAATTCTCTCACCCTCCCGCACTTCTGACTGTATCCAGTGCTTATATAAATAAATAAATCTTTAAAAAAAAAAAAAAGAAATGATAGTATAAAAATCTTTCTGATCTTGCATAGGGCTAGTATTCTTTAGACAAGATGCAAAAATTTAAGCAGAAAAGGAAAAAAAAAAACCTGGTAAATTATTTGTTTTAAGTATATTTATCAAAGTTACTGTATTTCTTCTTTTAAGGTAGCGTTAGCTTATAACACTTTATATGGTTTAGGATAAATTATTTTAAATTAATATTAACATAGATATCTAAAGATACCTTAAAGTGAAATAAATAAGGTACAAACTAAAAAAGATGTAACATATATAACCCTGTGAAGATTAATATCAAATATGTATATCTAACAGGTGATTGGCAAAGATTATGATGCCTTAGAATAAGATTTGGATGGATATAAATCAATATGATCTCTTTTACATGGCCATTAGAAGTATAAGTTGATAAAGCTCTTCAGAAAACAACTTGACATTTTCTCTAAAGTTCAAAATTTGTAGAGCCCATAATTCAGTCATTGTACTTATAGTTTAATCCTAGGCATTTAGATACCTGTACAAGAATTTTATAACAGTAATCTTTACCACAGGAAAATAGTCAGTCTAGAAACAACCCATATGCTCTTGATGAGGGACTAAGTAAATGAATTGTGCTGTATTTACAATGGAATACTACATAGCAGTGAAAACCTAATGAAATCACAGCTAAATGCAACAGTAAGTAATAATTTTAGTACATTAAGTTCGAGTGGACAAAAAGGCAATCCCAGGAGACTAAACAGTACATATGAAACATGTACACTATATTCTTTAGGTCTGCATGCAAACAATAACTAATGTTTAAAATGTAAGAAAATGAAAACCACAAAACTCTCAAGAAAGTGGTAGATTCTGCCAGTAGGATGAGTGGATATTATGGATATAGGCTGGAATAGGAATACAAAAATCAATATATAAATTACAGGTAATGCTATAGTCCCTTGGTTGAGACAAAATATTGATTTTATTTTACCTGTGAATAAACACATACAAACATACATGTATATGTACATATACATGCTGCCAAAGGACTATTTATTTTAGTTCATTTATGGTTAATTCAGCTTTACATATCTGATTTCTATAGGAGTATAGAAAATATAATCTTATTTTTATGTCGTGATGATCTCACTGTCTTCACAGAAACCATTACTGGAGTGGAAATCAGTTAACTCCCAGGCAACTCTTGTTCTCAGTGTTTAGAAAGCCTTTCTGTTCTGCCCAAACCATGCAGGAAACCAGCAGCCCTTTGGAGACCTCCAATGTAATTTTGCTATTACTAACCTTCCTTACCTGTGTGGAAATAGAATTTTTCTAAATGGAAAGCAAGGTCTTCCTGAGTGCCAATGGGGATAAGTATCACTGACTAAAATTTTCTTTTTTGGGATTTTTTTTTCTTTTATAGCTACACTCTGCATTGGAACCTGTCAGTTACTAAATGTAACTTTTCCATTTTGCAGATGAGGAAGCTCAGTCACTAAAGTCAAAATCAGTGAAAATAGGTCAATTCGTATATCTGGTCATGCTTAAATCTTTGACTTCCCCCAACCAGTTTATGACTTTGGTGATCTGAAATAGTAGCAGTAACTGAAAAGTAAACTGAATTGTGGTTTTAATGAGTCATTCATGCCAATCACAACTGGTTTCCAGTCAAACTCAAATGGCATCTCAGGCCTCGTAGGAATGCATTAAAATGTTCCTTTTTCTGACAGCATGTATGCCCACTTTCCTGTACACTCACTTTCCACTGGGCACTTTCCAACCTCAGTGGGCTAGTATTTTAATAGCTACCTTCCTCAGCCAGGAAGCAGCTTAAGCTATAATTCATTCAGATTGGTAAAAATAGATCTTTCTGGGGACTACAATCATCAAGTCAATTGAGGAAAACAACTGAAAATCAACTGAGCACAGAAGGATGTAATAAGAACATAACAGCTAAAGAAGTAAAGCAAAGCATTTTATTGAATTTGGAGATCATTTGCTGTCTAACCTTTGCTGTATCTCTAATAACTTTAAAATAGAAGTAAAAGGATGATTTTTGCATTCATTTTAAGGTTATGATCATTATGGTCTTCTACTCAAACCCTGACATGTTATTTAAAAAATCAAAACCAGACATTAGTAGCACTGTGGAGATTAGATAAGATAGTACTATCTCAGAACACTTAGTTTGATGAGGAAGAGGTTGTTTTACACACATTCTTTCCTCCACCCATTCATTATCAAGTATCTTCTGTAGAGAGTACTGGGTGTTGATGTAAATCAATTTGAAACACAGTCTCCTTTTTTAAACAGTGTAAATCTAATGGGATTCCTTCCCCTATGCTAAAGATAAATCAATATTTCATCCTGTCAATACACTAAATTTTTGTAACATTTTTCAACATGATTGAAATTTAAATATCAAGCTATCATGACAAATAAATTTACGCATTCCTTTTTTTAGGATTTTGCCATATGCTTAAAATTATATCTATTAATCAAGCTGCCTTGTATTTCTGAGGATGAAATGAAATCTAGAATATCTTGTGAATCAATGTTGCTGAAGTATATTTTTAATATTTCACATTTATCCCACAGTATCTTATACTGTGAGTTCTCTTTAATTTCATTCAAATTTAATTGAAATTGAAACAGAGCTTTTGGAGGAGAAAGGCACTCAAGCAGAGCCCATTGTACATGTGATTCCAATCATTCTCAAAGACAATCACATTTTTGGAAGTGTGCTGTAGAATGCATATAAAATAAACAGGGATATTTCATTGTAAAAATAGTCATATTTGTCACTTTTCACTAATCTGTTTTCTTAAAACTTTAGAAATTCCTTGAAAGTTCATAAAAACCTTCTTGCTATTGAGGAATGTGCTGATAGTACCCTAAAGTAAAGAAAAATACAAAGTTTTCATGCAGATCAGAAGGTATGGGACGTTGATTTCTCACCACAGATTTGACTTCTTGTTGCTATTAATTTAAGACATCTTTAGACTATTCTTTAAAAAGGACAGTTAAAGCCCCATTAATACATACAGCGTATGAAAATAAGAACACAGGCCATGATATTAAAACAAGTGAAAGCCAAATTTGTTACAATGTAAAAGAATTTAAATAGAAAAAAAAAAGAAATATCTAAATCAAGAAGCTTAAGGAATTGGACTTTAGCAATACCTACCCGGTTTCTCATCTTCCTTTCTTTATATTTATCCTGATATGTTACACTCCTGTTGTGAATTCACCAAGAGTTTTATGTAATGAAAGAAATGAAGGAGCATATAAAAACAAACAAATCGAGCCCCAGAAAAAACAATTTAAAAACCCTAGGAGGAAATGAAATACATACAGAAAATCTGGAATTTATTGAATGCATAGATATAGAGCATTTTGTGTTCAAAATACCTTATTTACTGCCACATGGGCATCTGAACATGATGATCTAAAAATCTTCATCTTTCCAGTTTAAAATTCTTATGAAAAATATGAAACATGTAGATATAAACCCCAATGGATGCTGAGTTGATCATAAAATCTCTTAAAACTCAAATAAATATTAGGTTCACCAACAACTTCCTCAACAACTTTTTTCTTCCTCTTTCCAGTGCTTAACACAATCTGTACTTATTTTATCACTTGTGTATCTTTTTAAAATATCTATTATTCCCAGTAGGCTGTAAGTTCTATGAGATTTGAAATCATCAGTATTTGGTTGGCCCTTATTATCTCAGCATCTAACATAAAATCCAGCATACAGAGGCACTCAATAGATGTTTTGATTTTATGACCAAATAATCAGGCAATTACTTGGAGAAAGATGATAGCACATTTATTTGAAGAAATACTATGTAATAATAATAAAAAAAATCCTACTAATGATGAGTATAATCATGTTTAAAATATTTAAATCATACCATTCATGAAAAAAAATGAAATAATGATGCAAAATTATATATAAAAATGACCTCCAGATGTAAATACAGATTTTTAAGAAAGAGGAAATATATAAATATATAAAGTGTTTCCCAAATGTTTGCTTTGGAAAATATGAATTGATTTTATTCTTTTCTGTTACATTGTTTTTTAATTTTTTAAAATATTTTTAAATTGTCTAAAATAATTGGGTTTTCCATTTCAAATAATGAATCACAAAATGATGCATTAAGTGTTGTTGACAGTAGGTTCAACACAGAGTTCTGGGGAGGTCTTAATGAGATTTTGAAAGTAATAAAATAAATTACAACTAAAAAGATTATGCTCAGGATGGCAACTCTACCCATCTGGGAAAATGCATGGGCTAGTTCAAAATCTTCAAATATTAGAGGTTAAAATTCTTTTCAAAAAAGCTTTATTTTTAAATAATCTTAAAAAAAACTATTTAAGCATCAAGTCACTTTATTTAATACAATTTAACAGATAAGGAAAAGTAGACTCAATTCTTTAAGTCTAATGGGTAGTACCTGGTCCATATTATTTAGTAAACTTTAACCCAAAGGAAACTTGAGCTTGACAAATAGGTCAAATACTGATTTGGATTGAGTTGATAGCCAAGTTTGAATTTTTCATTTAAATCATAATGAAGGCATGCTACTAGTAGTGAAAGATGGTTCAAATAACAGATTACCGTCTTTTATTCTTATACTCAACTTCTTGTTTTGCTGAAAAGATACTGGAATATATTTTGATTATAACTATTCTTAACCCCTCAAAATAGTATATGCACTAAAATTCTCCGAAATTTAATAAAGCTTGCTAAGTATAAGTGTCAAGAACAACTAATTCCTGAATTTCTTTCCTTTAACATTATTATAAAAGTTTTCAAATAATTGCAAAGTTAAAATAAGTTTACAGTGAACACCTATATGTCTACATTTATATTTGCTATTAATAATTTACTTGGCTGATTAGCTATCTATTTAAACATCCTAAAATTCATTATCTTAATTTTTTGGCATGTATTTTAAAACATGGCACACTTATTTTTATATATTTCAGCCTATATTTTATTCAGGATTGAATATTTGTCTCATTTTCTCTCTGTAAAACTCAAATACAACATTTGTTATAACAATTTTAGGTTCATGTTTGTTCAGTTGTAACAAATGAATATATTTGTACAATCAATATCTGCATTAAAATCTAGAATATTAACATCAACCTCAAGTTCCTTCCCAGTTAATCTTTACCTACATCTTCTGAGGGAAACATTGTTTAATTTCTTTAAACTACAGATTATTTTTGACTGTTGTAGCATTTATAACTCATGAGGTATGTATGTACTCTTTTAGATAATTCACTCAGCATAATGAGTTTGAGATTCATCCATATTTTTATGTATCAGGATCTGTCCTGTTTTCTTATTAAACTCATCCCATTGTATGTATACACCATAGTTCATTTATTTTCCTGTTACTATATTCTAGCCTATTTCCAGAAGATAGAAACTATGAATAAAGTTGATATTGGAGTTGGCTCACTGGAGCTGGTGATTGCAATGATGACATTTAATAATAGATTCAATGCCAGTGGTTTGATTTTTAAGCAAAAGGCATGAAGTCCATGCATTCAAGAATGGCTACAAGGAGGGGCTATGTGGAGAGGTGTAGATTTTCATAAGAAAACGTCATTGTCTGACATGTCCAGAAGAGAGATTATAGATTAGGTAATAGTTTTTCTAAATCTATAAACATAAGCCCTGCCAGACCCCATTTATTGTTCCCTGGGAAGACTTTGCCAGAAAGAACAATGTGGGACAACAACAACAAGATTGTGTAGTTGAATGAGATGGCAGAACAGTGATCTTGGGTCAAAGAACATTCAACGCTACCTTCAGAGCTACGCTGCTATAGATGGGAGTGTTCTCTAAGACGTCATCCCAAGAACAAGGCGTTTCCTGTCATTGGAACACACACAACTCCTGGCTTTGGACAGATCTTTTATCAAGTAATTACCAGAAAAGCCCAAAGAGGCTTGGCCACTTAGCTGTGCAGGACCTTTGGGACCCTTTTGATCTTTTGGCATGCCAAAGGGTAATTCACACAAAGATAAAAAGCATTCACAGCACTAAAAGGCTATTCTTAATAGATTAAAGCTTCATGGCTGGTTCAATGACAAAGGTCTTTCAATATAGATTTTCTTTCTCCTCTAGAGCAAATATGCAATCATCCTGTGTAAATAAGAAGAGAAAATTGCACCAGTAGAAAGGAAACCAGAGTATTATGGTTTGAAGTCAAAGGAAACAGAAAGAGGTGAAATGAATGTCCAAGATTGAAGGAGGAGAACAGATGTTTTGTTAAATTTAATTTCTTATCTCCAATATTACCTTATAAATTTTAAAAACACTAGGTGTGTTTCCATAGGTTATTGTTTCGTAGGTGGCCCAGGTGTTATTTACTCTTTAGAACACACTCCTTCCAACTTGACTTCCTTCTATTAGTCATTGACAAGGTTGTCACCAAAACCAAAATTTAAATTTCTCTCATCTTTCAGGGGAAATGTGAGGCAATGGAAGAAGTTATTAGTTGGGATCCAGTACAGGCCTAAAGAATAGTCACAACCTTAAGAATTTACACTATAATTGAGATAGAATCAATATTAGTGAAATCCTAAGAAGTATTAAGAAACCAAATAAGAACAAGTGAAAAGTAATAAGCTGGACAGAGGAAGTGGATATCTACATAAACATGGGAAAGAAGAAATCATGGTAGAAAGGGGAGGAGGTTAAGAGGATAACAGTCTTTGGCTATACTATTTCCTGCTGTCCCCATGTACTCTGGAGATTAAAATGTTAAAACAGGTGCAAAATATTCATTTGTAGAGATTATCAGGTCGCTTATTAACTGGATGTTCAGTTTACTCTCAGTGCTATAGCTCTCAACAGAATTACAGCCTTTGAATAATAAACAATGCATATTTCTGAAGGACACTGACACCTCAGTGTATATTATAATCTTGATATTTGTTGTCAAATGAATGTCTGAAATTTTTTTAGATGTAGAGTAACTACCTTTGATAAAGGACTGGTTCCCCCCCCCCCATTAAGGGACTTTCTATTAAGAAATTCACAGATTGGGCCTCCCCTGGTGGCGCAGGTGGTTGAGCACAGCACTATGAAGCTGTCCACAGCCTCTGCAGCATGGGTTTGATCCTGGCCGGCCAGCAAGGGTCCCAGATGGCGTGGCAGACCTCTCCTGTCTTGCCCGCTGCTCCCCTCAGCAGTGTATTTTGTCAGTCTGCCTGTTCTGTTCCCCGCTCTGTCTTTGGTCAATCCTCTCACTCCCCCACGCATCTGGCCTGTACCCTGGTTTTTGTATGTATAAATAAATAAATCTTTAAAAAAAATTTCACATATTTAAGAATTATGTTTGCTTTCACCTGAAATGTGTCAATGAATATCTTGAAATTTTTCTTTTGAGCTTTCTAGCCTATTTTAATCTGAAGTAGTTTTCTTATATACTATGGAAAGGGTGAAGAAATGGAGGGGGAAGGGAAAGAAAAACTGAACAACTCTTTTATGACAAATCTGAGTTCTTCAAATGTATTGCTATTGTTGAGCATATTCCAATGAGTCATTAAATGTCATAAGTATGGATATTTACAAAATATTTAAAAATTTTAACCATCCCTTTAGCTTTTATATCTTCTAGGTATTTCTTGTTTAAGCAGTTGTTAAAAATTTAAGAAAAGATATCTACTACCTTTCAGAAGTTCTTTTTAAATTTTTGACAACATTAGTAGATGAGCAGAAAAGAACGCATGAAACACGATATTGAAAAAGACAATATTACAAGTCTTGAGAAGCCTAATTTGCGAGATAAATCCCATTTATGTTCATCTTTCTTTCTCTGTCTTCTTTCCCTGCTAAGTCCACATTCTGCCTCTAAATCCTTGTTTAACACCAGGACCTTAATTAAGCTGATTGGATTTCACCAATCTGAAAAAGAGGTGTTTTTTTTTTTTTCCATTTCCTTTTAGAGTTAGTATTTTATTGTTGATAGTCACCTAAATTATTATGGAATCTGCCCATGAAGTCAAAGTATTAAACACTGTGAGATGGGGTAATAGTTGTAGAACAACTTGATGCATACGAAAAATAAAAAGAAATTGATAACAGTATTTTTGTATTTTTTGTTCTAATGATAAAAATAAAAGGTCAAAATTCTGTTCTTAATCTGTTCAGATTTTTTCATAATTTAAAAATTTTTAACACAGCAAATAAAATGAGATCTTATTAGATTATTTAAACAATGAATTTTCCTTCTCTATAGTTCCCTGAAGTTAACTGATCTTGACTTATATGGAAAAAAGAAAGCATGACCTGTTGGCATATTCCCACAGTTACTTTTTTAAAGACAAAATTGTTATCTTTTATATCTGAGTGTCTCTTAATCTTAATGACCCATAGAGACAAAGATTCACTGGATTGAATGTCTCTCACTTTCAGAAGAGTCTTGCTGAAATCATCTTCGGGATTTATATTATTTCTTGTCGCCAGTATAAGAAAGTGTTTTACATAACCTAGTACCAGATTTCAAGAGTCTAGGATTTAAGTGGAAGGATCATGTACCTGATTCAACATTCAGCTGTATTTTATTCAGGTTTTATGGCATACACTATCATGTTACTTAAAATATGTTATAAAGAATGAGGGTCTTTTTCCCTTAGTCCTGGAAGTCCTACTGGAAGATGGGCCCGTGTTACCCTCTCATTGAAAATTCCTTGAACAAAGAAAAAAATCACTTATCCAAGGCTACACTTCCTTCCTGTATGCAGTGGCTCATCAATGAAGAGGTATAAATTGTTAGTCCCCCTTTCCCCCCAATTCTCATAATGTTCCTGAAATGTCATTCTCTGTGGAGAGCTCACCAAATAGCTCCAACAACTCACTTTGTGCCAATCCATTTACATTTACAATGCCCATTGATATCTGGGTATTGTTACTGCCATTTTGTCTTTAGTTTTCTGGTTCTATATATTTCCTTATTTAATACTTTTGTGAATTTCCTCAATTTGATTTACATAGGAGTGCTCTTTCAGCATTTCTTGTAAGGCAGGTCTAGAGTTTACTATCTCCTTCAGCTTTTGTTTGTCTGGGAAGTCTTTTACCTCTCCCTTGAATCTGAAAGAGAGCCTCACAGGATATGGTATTCGTCACTGGCAGTTTTTTACCTTTGAGTTCTTTGGATACACCATTCTCCTTTTGCCCATATAGTTTTGTCTGCAGTTGCTTCTTCCGAGGCATGTCACATCTGCTCCCTTAGGCAGGATCTGCTTCACTGCTTGTCAGGACCTACTGCATCTGGGCAGCTTCTAGGACCTGTCTTGGGACACCCTGAATTCTGCTGAAGGCTATAAATGGTTGAGCAGCTCCCAGGACCCCTCGTGGAGCTTAACGCATTCTGCACAGACCCTGCCATAGTTGGGCTGCATCCAGGGCTCGTCCTGAGGCTCCCCATTGGTGGGGCTGCGTCCAAGCCCCATCGTTAAGGTCCTGGTTAGACAGCTTCTAACTCCTACCACAAGGCTTGTTGAGGTTTGCTGAGGGTTACCATGTAAAATCCTTGCCAATTACTGCTGGGCTGTAGGGGCTCACCTAGCCAACCTGGGTAGCACACTGCTTAGCCTGGCCCACTGCTTGCTGGGCCTGCACTCCTGCAGATGTTACTCACAGTGTGTGCTGAAATCATCGGTTTTACCTTCAGGAGTTATTGGCTTTGTTCTGCTCAATCTATTGATAGCTGCTGAGAATGTAGCGAACATGAACCCAGCATCTTCATGCTGCCACCATCTTACCATTCCTCTCATGTTATTTTAAACTCCTGTCCCCTGCTCACAAGGAGAAGAAAAAAATCAAAATATAAAACAAGGTGATTCTTCATAACCCTACAACTGTAGCAAATGTTTCCTTATCTGTTATCTATTTCACCTTGTTTTTGTAACAGGACACTGAGTTTCTCAACTCAGTGATTTGTTGGAACTGATTGTGCGTTCATCGCCATGAGCAGATCTGATCATGTCAAATGTCTTCTTGACAAAGATACAAAAGATAGCTGATTCAAGGATACAAAGCTGGCGTTATGCCAATTAGGGTTATTGACACAATTTCTGTCTTTGGCTGAGAGATCAAGGAAATAGGCTTTTGCTCTCTTAAGATTTTGAAAGGAGGATGTGCGAACCCTATGAAGGCCTTGCCTGAGAATAAAACCAGCACCAAGACAGTGAAGTTGAAAATAAGGATCACCCATTTGAACTTGGGATAAAGCTTCAGGTAAATCTATTCTTGAAATGCTCATGTTCTTCAGTCAATAATATTTTTGGAGTTCAGAAAAATACTGAAGTGTATGCTGGCACTGAAATGTATGCTTAAGAAGAAATTGGTAAGCAGATACATGAAAAGGTGCCTCGGGGAAATGCAAATGAAAACCACAATGATTTATCACATTGCATCTCTGAGAATGGCTATTGTCAAAAGTTAAAATATAACAAGTACTAGTGAGGATGTGCAGGAAAGGAAACCCTTGTGTACTGCTGTTGGGAATGTAAGTTGATGCATCCACAGTGGAAAGCAGTTTCATATTCCAATGTTAATTTAGAAAATTAAAAGTAGAACTAACATGTTATCCAGCAATTCCACTTCTGAGAATTCCAAAACAAAACAAACCAAAACTCTAACTTGAAAAGGTAGATCTAGCATCCCTGCAACATTATTAGCAATAGCCAATATATGGAAACAACCTAAGTGTCTATCAATGGATGAATGGATAAAGAAGTTGTGGTGTATATCTATGTGCTTGTGTGTATGGTGTAATAAAAGTTACGCACTTTTCACCCTTGACACACTCTTTCGCAGACTTAATGTAACCTGTGTATCCGCTTACTTTTAAGTATCACACTGGGATTACTCAAATTTGTACATCCTTATGTGGACAGATCTTTAAAAAATGATTAAAATGGCAAATATCATGGTTCATATGCATTGCCACAATAAATAAAAGGAAAAAACTCAGATAAAATTAAATATGATAATATTGTTATTCCAGATAAAATAATTATTTAAGCATTTGATGAAGTCTTAAAAAAAACTACAATAAAGATACTGATAAAAATGTCAGATAGCAATACTTTTGGCTACTGAATGATGTTAGTGAATGAATGCTAATA